AGTTAATGTTTACTTGGGCCAAAATTGTTAAGGGTTCAGTTCTGCTTCCACCTCTTCTACCATGTCGAATGAAAATGTGTTGGTGACATTCTTTGAGTGTCAACAAGAATGATTTGAACATCACTGGGTTTCAATTCTTTCACTGTAAAATGTAGGCATTATGTTGGATTATTTTTAAATTCATGCCTATTGGTAATATTAATCGTCTTGAAATCAAATAAATAGTGTATGACTATCACATGACCTACATGTGAGCAGAAGTAGGCCATGTGTGCTTGGATTATGAAAACCAGCTGGCCCATCTGCTCTAGGTTCCAAAACACGTAAGCTCATTGAGTATAGATTAGAAAGAAGAGATTAATTAAAACCCCCAAACCTCATCCATCACACATATAGAATAATATTTTTGAGAGAAGGATACATACATGTATGTATGTATAAATATATGATAAACATAAAGGAAAACCACTTGGAACACAAAATGAAAAAAATAAACTACAAACTAAGTCAAAATGAGCTAGTAATATAAGAGATTCACTCATAATATAAGAAATACAAAAGAAGAACCATGAATACTGGTGAGAATACTGGAAAATATGCCAGGTTAGTAGAAATGTAAATTAGTACAACCTTTGGTGATCAACTTGACAATATATATTGACATGTCTGATTCATATGCTTTTAGACCTGGCTTTCTCAATGGAGAGAGTTTACCAATTCCAGATTTTTTTTTTTAATGTTTTATTTATTTCTAGGAGAGAGAGAGAGAGAGACAGCATGAGCAGGGGAGGGTCAGAGAGAGAGGGAGTGACAGACTCTGAAACAGGCTCCAGGCTCTGAGCTGGCAGTCAGCACAGAGCCCGACGCGGGGCTCGAACCCACAAACCACGAGATCATGACCTAAGCGAAAGTCGGACGCTTAACTGACTAAGCCACCCAGGCGCCCCCAGATTTGTTTATAATAGGACACTCCTCCTCACCCCCCCTTCTCTAAGTAGAGTGCCCACTAAAAGGAGATTCGTTAAATGTAATATTATATACTTCCATTACTTTAATCATATTTATTATTTTAATAATGGTTATGTGCTTATATAACATGCCTGCCCATTGTGTTATTTAATGAGTAAAGTACAGTTCAAGAATATGCAAAAAGTTCCATCTCTTTCATCCAAATAAAATTGAAATATAGATTAGTGCATAAGTAGATAGTTATGTCAAGGTAAAGATAAATAATGTTGGAGGAGTTGTTAAACTCTGAGAAAGTCCTAACAATTTCTTAAAAACAGTGACTTCTTCACGACTTACTTTTCCATCTCTTTTGCAGTCCGCTGTGCGAGGGGTTCTGAGGCTCTCCTCAACACTTTAGATATGTCCTTGCCTCAAGACCTTTTTGTACCTAGGGTTCTTCTGTATGAAATGAGCTGCATAAACAAACAGAAAAACACGCCTGATTTCATTGAAGTCTCTGCATAAAGGAGATTTCTCAAAAGGTGCCTTATCTGAAAACCGTGTACAGAAGTCCCTCACTTTCTCACTCTCTATTTTCTTATAATGCTATATTTTATTTCTTAGCACTCATCAAAATGGGATCATACCTATCAATATGCAGATGTATAGCTATATATTTGTTTATTTCAATATTTGCTCCTCTTCTAATTCCCTTCTAGATAAAATATTATTCTTGAGAATTTTGGCCTCTTAACTTTGTTCGTAATTCTTCCCTAACACTCTGATTATTGTGTCTAGCATATTATAGGAAACTAGTGATTTTTTTTCCTTTTTTCTTGTTTCAAGTTTCTATTAAATAATAGTTAACATATAGTGTAATAGTGGTTTCAGGAGTAGAATTTAGTGATTCATCACTGGCATATACCATCCAGTGCTCAACACAAGTGTCCTCCTTAATCATCATTGTTAAATGAGTGATTGAATTGGTGAATACATGCTTATAACTTTGAGAGAAATCATTAGAAATAATTAAAGCACGCTGTGGGTTTCTGTGTACTGCCAGACCATATGAGACATCCGTATGAATTCTCAAATGGGAATTACTACGTCAAGTACCATGACATTTGTTAGTGTTTTCAACATAAATTGGAGGAAAAAAAATTAACTAATTTAAGTTGATGTATGTAGGTAATGTAGCACTATTTAAGAATTTTGTTTTATTTAGAATATTATAAAGATATGAATGTTTATTGGCCAAAACTGAGATCATATCAGATTACAGCTGTGAATTTACAATGTGGAACTAATTTTTCAAATATATTTTGACATGTATATGCGTGTGCACTAAAAATTACATCCAAATTGGTTCTCATATAAACTCTCGCCAGTGTTCATGTATTGTCATGAAACTCTCACTTAGTTGCATTTTATATCAAATGCACTGCTGCTAATTACTGTTCTTTCTCTGTGATAATTCTATACCTCTCAGGATTCACTTTCTCTCTTCCTTACCCTGCTTTATATTGTGCATTTTGTGATATTAACTTATATAATATATATATATATATTGAGTGACTACTTAAAATTTAAAAATTAACTATTACTATAAAATACATTTTTTATTATTAGCTTTAATTGTGATTAAAAATTACATCAATTAATTTACTACTGATCAGAACAATGCTACATGGAAAGCTGAAGTGTACAATTTAGTGATTCAACACTTCCATACACTACCCAGTGCTCATCACAAGTGCCCTCCTTAACCCCCATCACCTACTTAACCCATCCACCCACCTACCTCCTCTCTTCCAACCATCAGTTTGTTCTCTATAGTTAAGAGTCTGCTTCTTGGCATGTTTCTTTCTCTCTTTTTTTCCCTTTTTGCTCGTTTGTTTTGTTTCTTAAGTTCCACATATGAGTGAAATCATATGGTGTTTGTCTTTTTCTAACTGACCTATTTCACTTAGCATAACGCTCTCTCTCCATCTATGTCATTGCAAATGGTAAGATTTCATTCTTTCTTATAGCTGAGTAATATTTCAGTGTGTGTGTGTGTGTGTATCACATCTTTATTCATCAGTTGAAGGACAGTAGGCAGTTTTCATAATTTGGCTATTGTAGATGACGTTATAACCACATAGAAAGACAAAGATGAATAATATAGTATCCTCTCTTTTATATCTTTGTTTTTAATATTAATATGAACCTTCACGAAGTATGCAGAAAAATATTTTTCCCCAAAAGTAGTATTAAATGTCTTCTTAAGTTTTTAAATTTAAACTCAAATATTTAAAGAGTGAATTAATAAATATTCCCATAAAAGGAAGATGCTATCTTATTCATCTTTGTGTTTCTTATTGAGCATATGACATGAATTAGGTAAAAATTTATTAAATTAGTCACTAAATATTTCTTAGCAGATATAATACCTTTTCTTCAAATATATCCTCAGAGAAGAACAACTCACAGCCTTTTACCTGCCATATTTATACCTAAGATTGAAGAATTATTTAATGTTTGTGGATTGTGTCTATACAGCACATATGTAACACAGCGATAGCAAAGATCCAGAAGATAACAGGAATATCACTGTGTAACAGAAGGGAAGAAAGAGGGGAATTTAGTCTTGCACTTGTTATTTCCTACAGCATAAAGGAGAACATAGTTTTGATGAATCTTTAATAGAGGTCCTTAATGCCTATTTGTCAAATAATTATTAATGATGCAGCAAATATTGATAATGATGATCATGATGATGATGATGGGTGGTGAGGGATAATATGTTATCACTCTTGTCATCTCAGAAATGTTTGTGTACTTTCCTTCCAGAAGTTTCCTGGGAAACACTATTGAATTAAAACCTATAATTCATCTTTTGATATAGCTAGCTTTCACCAAAGCATTCTTAAGATAAAGCATTTGGTATCAAATGTGTGCTGAAAATTATCATTTTTAAATGTTTTGGCTATCTCAACAAACAAGGAAGAGGGGAAGAGATGTTTCATTCTTGCAAGTAAACCTTTAAGATTTAGTTTATCCCAGTTTTGTATAGCCTTAAACAAAAATTCTGAATGAATACTTGAATGGAAAAAAAAATTTTATTCAGAATTGGGTCGTTACTTTGAATGCCTCCAAGAATAGGAGCATTTTGTCCACTTTATACCTTTGGATGTACATATCACTCTTTATGCTCAGTGGAGATTTCCTTCTAACCATCACCAACATATTGATTTTATTTATATCAAACTTGATAATTTTGATTTTGCTTTGTTCTCAACTAGTACAGTAATATTGAACAAGATATTATGATATAGTCCAAAAGATCTTAGAGAAAGACTTAACTATGACTATGAATATGTAAGATGAAAATACAGAGAAAAATCTCCCCTCAAAATCTCTTAGTCCACAAGTAGTCAAAAAAGAGAATCAATACACATAATTTGGATTGTCTTTAATGTTTTCCTTGGACACCGATTTCTTAGCTTAATTCAGTCTTGAGGCCTCAAGGTGCTCCTGCAGTCTTAACTGCAATTATTTTTGGTTGCTCAATTTCTCAGATACTCTGTCCTAATTTAAAGTGTTCCTCCTGCTAGTACGTAGTTGTTGATTATAAATGGCAATACAAGTTACTTACAGCCTGTACAGTTCAGTAAGCCTTCAAACCTTTTAGCTTTTCTATTGATAACCTAATCATGAAATTAAAGCATCTATAGTAAGCAGATGAGCTAATGTAAGCAGTGTCATGTTTTTTTTGGTACACAAATCAATAAAGCTATCATGATGACTTTCAGTTCAATCATCTTGCTACTGGAAATGAACATAGCTTTTAAAATAGATTTTTCAAATATGTATCATTTGCACTAACAGCTATATTGTTGTCCACCATTTTGGTTATAGTAGTTACATCATTTCCAGTGGCAACATATATTCACAGAATCATGGAGTAATGCCAATTCCAAAGGAAAATAGAGTCCAGTAGATAAACGAGATGACCTTGAGCTCTGTAAAACAAAGATGCTAGAGTCATACTGTCTTATTTTCCAGGTGCATATGTGCTCCAGGTCAAGGCCACCGACGCAGATGACCCGACCTATGGAAACAGTGCCAGAGTCGTTTATAGCATTCTTCAGGGACAACCTTATTTCTCTATTGATCCCAAGACAGGTAAATTTTTTATTAGAGACAACATTATCACCACCCCTTTCAAATATTTAAACTTTAATTAAATCTTGGCATGGGAAGTCACCTACTCTAAAAATGCAATAAAGATTCAGTGTGTTGTACATTAAGTAAAAGAAGATAGGACCTTACCTTGCTGCCATAGAACTATTTCCTCTAGATTGAATTTTGTGTAAATATAAGCCGTCTCCGATATATGTGTCAAGTCCCAATCTCAAGATAACTATTCTCTATAAGTATTATTTTAAGTTTTCAGAAGCCTGGGCATATTTGATTTTTGATTCTTCTGGAATTAAAATAGTTATTCATTTTAAGTTTTCTTGATTGGGTTCAATTATAGTTAATTTTGGGCCTTATCAATATGTGGTAAGATCATGGAGCTTCTACTGTTATATTTGCCAGAGGTTATAGATGGTTGATTTGGATTAATAAAGACTTATGCTTCTAGCAGGGGAACAAAGACGGTTGACAAACTTGAAACACCCAGATCACTAATTCTACTGACAAATGCTTTTGAAGCTAGTCTCATTTTTGAGTCAAAACATTTTTTTTTTTTTAATGATTTCATGCGTCATTTTTTAAAAGTTATTTCTGAGAGAGAGAGAGAGAGAGACTGTGAGCAGGGGAGGGCCAGAGGGAGAGGGAGACACAGAATCTGAAGCAGGCTCCAGGCTCTGAGCTGGCTGTCAGCACAGAGCCCAATGCGGGGCTCGAACCCATGAAATGTGAGATCATGACCTGAGCCGAAGTTGGACGTTTAACCGACTGAGCCACCCAGGTGCCCCTTAAGTCAAAACATTTGAATGGAAGTTTTCAGAACCAAATATATAAGAATCTTTGGAAAGTATAGAAAGAGCAGGATATTATTCACTAAAAGATTTTGTATTCCTTTGTAAATAAAATGAAGTCCTTCTGTTCTAGAGAATTTGCTTTGTGAATGCTAAATACGTTTTTAAGGAGATCTAGCCAGGCTGAACAGTTATCAAAGTAGGTGTCCCATGTCACAGTTAAAATAGAACTGCACAATGACAGCTATTTTATGAGCACTTATGTTACATTATAATACATTGCATATTGAATTCAATATTATTTATTACATTAGGTTAAAATAATGAAATGAACTGTTAATATACTAGACTACTGGAACTTTATAAATTTGTAAATACATTTGTAAAGAGCTATATCAATTCGAAACAAATTAATTTCAGACACTCTATACGCAAAGAAGCTAAACGTTTCAAAATTAGCACTTCCCTGTAAATGTGTGCTGAAATCTGGAATACCAAATAGATATAGGTTAATTAATAATTAGCCATGTTTTAATGTCACCTAGAAACATAAAGTCAATTAAGTGGAAACAGAATCTGCAAAAACTTTCTGCAACTGAACCTGCTATTTTCTCATTTGTTTCTCTCCTCCTTAAGCCTGAGGGACAGAAATCAGCAAAATGTTAAAGGAATAAGGCAGGAGGTTGCTCCCTTTCATAAATCTAAAAAAAGAGTAGTTTGTCATAGGACAGCATCAATCTTTTGAGAAGGGAAGATCAGTGCTGAAGAGAATCTAGAAAAGTTTAAGACATAGAAACACTTTTGGTTTGGAAAAAGGGTCAGAGACCAAAAGCCAGAGGTGTCAAATATTAAGAGCGGGTGCATGATGGAAAAATTGTACCTACAATGTAAATTATTGTCAAGAAGTATGACAACGAAGGTAAGATATTTGGCAGTATCAGTGTTAAGGAAGTTTAAACTGGGAAATCATATGTATTTGTAGAAAAACAGGAAAACATTGTTGAAGAAAGAATTTGGGGAAGTTGTTCATTGAAGTTTATGATGGTATAAAATTCCAGAAGGGTGAAGAAGGTTTGGACAACAGTCTCAATATATAAACACATACTGAAGGAAAATTATCTAAAATATTATACAGCCTTTCATCAGATGTAAACATCATGGGTTATTTCTTCTTCTATGATTACCCATATTTTCCAAATTCACTATGATCGATACTCTAACTAGAAACTAGTGTGGGCAATATATGTGTCTTAGACCTCTTCAGCCTCTGAGAAGCAGTGCTGAGAGTCAGAGGGGATGGACAAAGGAGAAAAGGGTTGTAGAGATTGGTGGAGGGGAGGTTCTGTATTAGAGTAACTTAGTGGGTTGTAGTGATTAACTCTATAGATAGAGTAGGTAAGTTTATATAGTCAGAATAAGTGCAGCAGAAGAGAGATAAACTAATATTGATGAAATAACTATAGATGTAGTCAGTATCTAACTAAAAAGTAACATAATCATATAAAGATGAATTTAAGCATAGGGCATGGATTAAGAATACAAGCATTATAGTCAAATTAATACTAGACAGATAATAATTATATGACTCAAAACACATTCAGTCTCCTTGGCTCTATTTGGTCAATATCAACTTTAGATGAATTCTAAAGCTTTTAGAAAGTATTACCTTATAGGAGATTATTCATAATATGCCTTTAATAACTATGTATTTATATTTTGTATAATGCTTATTATTTAGAACTAAAGGTGAAATAATTCTGGCGTAAACAATGAAATAGATTTTTTGAAGCATTGATTTTCACTGGAGACAGAAGTCTTGATACTAACAAGGCCTCAGACCGCTAGACAGGAAAAGAGTGGATGAGGAGGCACTTCATTAATAGAATGATAACTAGTTCTTCATGCACAGAGACCATTAAGAAGACTTTTTGTCAAATTTATCACCTTGTGGTACATAAGAGTAAATCAAAAATCAAGGATAATTGCAATTTCTCAGAAATAGCCTCCATTTGTTCCAGCCATATAGCTTCCTTTTATGATTCCTTTTGCTGTTATTAAATAAAATGCATGAAAAACTAATATTATCTAAAATTGTCCACATTTGAGTATAGAATAGACTTTAAAATAATTTTTAAAGGAAGAGTCTCATCAGAAATTCTGGTGCCTAAGTATTTATAAAGAGATAAATAGAACCATTTATTATTTATTTGGAATAAGAAAATAAAAAATGTTTCCTTAGTGATATTGTTTTTTGACAAAAACTCTAAAGCATCTCTACCCAAGTGAATATAGCACGCTTACTTATAAGCAGTATATATTGATGCAAACTATGAAATAAGCTCAGAAATAATAGTTCTCTTTAAAATTGGCTAATTTGGGGGCACCTGGGTGGCTCAGTAGGTTGCACGTCCGACTTTGGCTCCGGTCATGATCTCATGGTTCATGGGTTCAAGCCTCACATCAGGCTCTGTGCTGACAGCTCAGAGCCTGGAGCCTGCTTCAGATTCTGTGTCTCCCTCTCTCTCTGCCCCTCCCCTGCTCACAGTCTGTCTGTCTCTAAAAAACAATCAATAAATATTAAAAAGTAAAGTAAAATAAAATAATAAAAATAAAGTAAAATAAAATAAAGGTTTATTTTGCAATTATTTGGCCTAACTATGAAATTCTTCACTATGAATTAAAATTTACATGTATTCATACACCTCAAATGATTATTAACTATTTTAAAAACTTCAAATGTAGAGAAATCTATAAAACATTAAATAACATTGATATTCATTGCATTTATTGTTTATGAAACATTAACATGTTTGTAATATTAGCATGTTATATTATGTTGTGTACATTTTTATATTTAATGTTTTTATACATTAGAAAAATATCTATAATCTATAAAACATTAAATATCGGCTTTATAATATTTTATCAAGGGCAGAAATCAGGATGCTAAACATTTCTACAACATTGATAATAGAATTACTTAGGAAAATAAACATTAATATAAGTGACTTCATGTCTTAATTTGCATTTCAAATTTGTTTAAAGTATTTAAATTGTTACCTAAATGATTTGAAAAACTAATCTGAGTTGAGTAACTAGTTATTGCTATTTCATGTCATGTGGTGATGGTATGTTGTATTTTTCCAAATAAGCTGAGTTCTAATTTAGAAAGCATCATTATTCACTTTGCCTCAACATTTTTTAAACCTATAAATTTAAATTTTCTATTGTGATAAAATATACATAACATAAAATTTACCATGTGAACTGTTTTAGGGTACAGTTGAGTGGCAGTAAGAATATCCACACTGTTGTGCAACCATCACTACATCCATTTCCAGAACTTTTCCATCAATCTCTTATAGTTTATGTGCATTGTCAGAAACAATGTATCTTTATAAGTTTGTATGTTATGTATTTATATGTTCATTCATAGAATCCATATGAAAATAATTGAGTGAGTCTTAGAGTTGAACCCATGGGCTATGTATTTTTTCCCTTTTATTCACCATTCTGATATTTCATGCTTTGTGATTCTGCCCTAGCCTCTGTTTAGGGAAATCTGATAAGTGTTGCTGAGAGATTTGACATTTCTCAAGACTTTTATTCTTTGAGTCTATCACCTTTTATTCAGTAATTGTACTCTGCAAGCCTATATGTCCTAAGTCAAACCTCCTCACATATTCTGACTGATATTTATTTTTTCAGGTCTTTAAAAATATGTTGGTGTTTTAAAGCACCATAGTATAATCAAAGCATGGGTTAGATTATATTTTGAGCTAATTCTTGATACCAGTATATAAATATTTACAGTGTTTCATGGTTTGAAATGCCTTTGATATTTATTCAGAGTAAAGTCTTTAAGGATTCAGACACCTCAGCCCTGACGTGCCTGATGAAAGAAAGATAGAGTATATCCTTTCTTCAAGGGCAAATAAGAGTATTTACCTACACAAAGTCATCATGCCTTTAATACGTTTTTGCATTAAGATGAAGTCTAATTATAGACCTAGAGAGCAAGAAAAGCAATAGGTGCTGATAGATATAAGGGAGAAAAAATGTGTCATGGAAATAGACAATTATCAAGCAAATACGTCACATATTACCTATTCTGGAATATTTTGCATATGAGTAGTAAAACTACACGTCTAACAATGCGCCTCAGTGAATGGTTCCCTTGTATTCTGCGTCATCTCG